TATGGATTGTGATAAGAGATGTGAGAACCCCCAATAAAAGTACTTAATTTAAAAAAATAAAAAATAAATAAATGATTGGGGGGAAAAAAAGCAGCCTCTTCTCAGCCATACTGCAGACAAATGCCCAGAAGGCCCTCCACTCTGCCAGTAAGCCTCAGTCCGTTAGGTGCTCAGTTCTAGTTCCGTGGACTAGCAAACTTCGCTCCCCAGGCAAATGCCAGGACAGCCCCAGCTTCGTAAGATGTCCTGTCTGAAGCATTGATCTTTTTGGCTCAGTGGGCAGGGAAGTGTCCCCCACTCTGTCTTGTCCTCTTGATTCTCCTGCCTCTGTTCCCATCTTGCCTCTGCTATCTCTTTGTCATAACGTCCCCTTCACATCTCTCTTGTCTCCTGGATCAAGGAGATTAGTGTGCAGAGATCTTTGGGTCCAAAGGCTGTACTTCACTCTTGTCTCTTCTTTCTCGATGGTAGCGAGATCATCCCTCATTGTTGCCTCCAGGCTGGCCCATTTTAAGCCTAGCAGAATGGCTAAATGATTTTAAACTGACTAATCCCCTTGTTATGGTTCTACATTATCTTATTTGCATTTCATTTCACAAGGGTGTCATGTACTTTGTTTATATTGTTAACAAGCTATCTAATCTCTTTGAAAGGCCACAAACACCTCACATTTGCGTAGTCTCAGTCAGTTGGTGGGAGTTGCAGCAACTGGAGCTTAAGTAGCTCACTGCACCACAGTGAAGTTCAGCATTGAGAAATTGTTTTCCACATTGTACTTTGACTTCTACTAGATTTTGTTGGTTTCATAAAATAGTAGGATAGATATAAATGAATTTCAGTGCATAATCAAGTTTTTAACCCCCGCCCCTCAAAAAAAATCAGTTAGTTTATCAAGCAGAATTTGCTAGCTTATTGATCCTGTTCCAGTGTAATTTTTGGTGAGTGCACTGAAAACATTTTTGCCGAATGGGTTTCTTCTGCGGATGTGCACTTTCCGTGTATGGCTGCTGTGCAGGTTGCAGTGCGGTTGGGCCTGTTGGGATGGAGAGTGCGCCAGCATGTCCTCTTCATGTGCTCGCTTTTATGTGTTCATGCCTTTTATTGCTATCACATTCCTGGATCAATTTTGTTGTTAATTTCTCTCTCTTAATCCTCGCTTTATTACTAGCCACACTCTCTTTCGTCGAAGGGTTTCGGTTGCTTGGGTTTTATTCACCAAAAGTTATAGGTTGGGGATACTTTATGCCCTTACAATAATATTCGTATGTGTGTTTTTACATTAAAATTAATCATAATAGTAGTATTTTTAATCACTGTTAAAACATGCTCCACTCCTGCTGTTGTTAAGCATTAAGACGTCCAGCTGTGCTAGTAGGTCTTCCATCGTGGCTGTCCTTTCTTGCAGGATGAAGACGAGCTGGATTCCCACACCATGGTGAAGACAAGCTCGGGAAGTGTGGGCACGATGCGGGCCACGAGCACCTTGAGCGAAGGGGCCCAGACCATGATTGAACACAACAGCACCATGCTGGAGTCGGACTTGGGCACGATGGTTATCAACAGCGAGGATGAGGAAGAAGAAGATGGAACTATGAAAAGTATGTAGCCTTAATTCCACTAAACCCTTTGTGTTCTATTTGGAAAACACAGAAACCAGGATAGACCAGTTGTGGAAAGTGTTGTTCCTTGGCTTTCACAGTTTAAGAAGATATATACTTAGACACATATATGTATGTGTATGTACATATGGCAGAAATAAACTTTTAAAATATCTTAATACAGCAACCCCCAACAAATCTTTTACTCACAGTTATAGAACTTTACCTTTTCTTTCTTTTTTTAAAATTCAAAGACCATTTTATTGGGGACTCTTACAACTCTTATAACAATCCGTACATCAAATATATCAAGCATATTTGTACATATGTTACCATGATTCTTTTCTTTCTTTTTTAAAAAATCATTCTATTGAGAGCTCTTACAATGCTTGTTATAATCCATACATCAATTGTATCAGGCATATTTGTACATATGTTGCCATTATTCTCTTCTAGACAGTTACTTTCTATTGAGCCCTTGGTATCAGCTCCTCTTTTTTCTCTCCCCATCCTCCCTGGTAACCCCTTGATAAATTATAAATTATTATTATTTTCATATTTTACCCCAACCGCTGTTTCCCTTCCACCATGGTTTCTGTTGTTCATCCTCCTGGAGGGATGTGTGTGTGTGGTGTGTGGTGTGTGTGTGTGTGTGTATGTGTCGATCATTGGGATTGGCTCCCACTTCCTGCCCTCCTGTCCCCACTGTCCCCCTCCCTCCCACTATCACTGTTCCTATTCCTAGAGCTTTCCTTTTCTCTATTGAAGGCCCAACTCATCATTTAATGTGTAAAACATTTTAGAGCAAGAAAGGCAGTGTTCTTAATGTTTACTTTTCCAATTAAAAAAGTGAACCTAAAATACTGCTTCAATAAATTCAACGTAATACTGTTTCATGTGGTCTAAATGGTTGGTTAACTCCCAGTGACAAGGCAAAGGGAGGCATAAGGGCTGAGGGAGGAACAAGAGAAACCCTGGAAAGAATGTCAAGGCTACACCATACAAGGGGCTTCCAAAAGCTCATGGGAAAATTCCATTATCTTTCAATCCCATTTTCCCATGAATTTTTGGAAGCCCTTTCACGCCAGTGCTTATTTACCACTGCTCCTTACCATGTGTACGGTGCTGCACCAGGGGTGTGCAGGGGCTCAGAGGATAGCTGAGGTCTTCTTTGACCTCCACTGCGTATAGGAGGGATGTCTTAGACTAGCACTTCTTCTTTTAATCACTTTTTAAGATATTGCCGTGATAAAAGGTTTTGTGGTTTCACCGATACATTATCACTTCTTCATACCTACTGACCTGTCTTTTCTGTATACCGTCCAAGTGCTAGGTGTCATTTCAAAGTGCTGCTTTTAAATGGCACAAATGCAGAAATACACAACTTGTTCTGTCAGAGAAGGATCCCTGGTGACCTAGGGGGGTTACACATTAGGTTGCTAACTACAGGGTTAGAAGTTTGAAACCACCAGCCCACTCAGTGGGAGAAAGAGGAAGCTTTCCACTCCTATGAAAATTCAAAGCCTGGGAAACCCAAAGAGGCAGATTCCATTCTGTCCTATCAGGCTGCTAAGAGTTGAATTGACTTGATATATTGAGACTATTGTAGAGCCTAGACTTTTGTGAAATTCAAATAATTTGCTGATGCTGTAAGATGAGTCTAAGAATTTCTTTTGGCGACTCTTCTCGTGTTGCTGCCTCTCCTCCATCCACTCCCCACCCCCCATTAGGCTTAGGTCCTGTTTCAGAGCTTCAAGTCACTTGACCCCCTGCTTGGCTTTCTTCATACATCCAAGTGTATAGCTCTTATGGTTGTGCACGTTGAAAAGAGAGGGTCAGGAGGCACAAAATGCAAACTAGATCCTGTGTGGTTAATCCTGACAGTGTTATGAATTTGGGCATGTCGCATCCCTGGTGGGTCTTCTGGACCTCTGCTCTAGAAAGCAGCCTCAACTTGGGCTCCCAGAAATTCTTGGCTTGGTTTTAGATGAGTATGGGCATCTGTAAGGGGTCCCCCCAACTGAAAAGTCATGGCTGTATGGCCTTTAAAGCCAGCCCTCTTTTGGGTATAAGCCAGATGTCCTGTAGATAAAAAAAAAACACTCAGTGATAAGACAGTTGCAGGTAATTTCCCATAAGCATGGAGCCTCATTTTGTCCACAAACATATCTGCTTCTTTCAGTCAAGCTTTGTGACTCGAAGTAGACCACAAAGAATATCACGGAGAGCTTGATTGTATTGCTCATGAACCCCGAAGAAGTTATCATCGAATCTCAGTATATATAATAGTAGTTTCAAAAAATGTGTCCATAAAAATGAGGAGCTTATACCAAGGGCTCAAGTAGAAAGCAAATGTTTGAGAATGATGATGGCAATAAATGTGCAAATGTGCTGGACACGATGGATGTATGGATGGATTGTGAGAAGCGTTGTACAAGCCCCCAATAAAATGAATTTTTTAAATGTACAGTAGAGTTCAGTTCATGTAGTGTGTTCTAATTTGAAGAAGAGATAGGGGTTGATAATTTATCAATCATCATGCTTTAAAGTTACAGTGTGGGTGCACACATATTTTGAGCACTCACTTTTAGCTTCGACCATGGAGAAACCATTCAGGATACTTAGGCTCACATTGTATGTCCCCAGTGTAATTTTTATTTTCAGTCACAGATTTCACCGAAAGCTCATTTTTAGGATGAACACATTGTGGTTTATATGATTGTGACTGTTTTATGTGCTTCAGCAGGTTTGAAGTCCCATGAGCCAACTTTCCATTTAAGTTTCTGTAATTTTGATGCCATCCTTCGATGTTCCCCAAAACCTAATCATGTGATACCAGTGTAACCCCCAGGGACTGCCATACTATAGTAAGCAATTGCAAAGAACTTGAAGAGGCTATTGCTGCATACCTTGCTTTTCCTGAAACCACAGTTATTTTGAGTTTTGTATTTTTTACCTCATGGTAGAAATCTCCTTTAATATTTAGATTAGTTGAGTTAAGCTCTCAGTTCACAACTCATCGGTCGAAGCCTCCTTTGCTAATGTGTCTTTAGCATTTTTGTTGCCTATGTGTATTATAGCAATATGTTAGTTTTGCTTTTCTAGACTTTCTGAGAGGTTACATTGTGTGCCGAAGAATCTGATTTTCATCTTCTTTTCCACTGGAGTTTCAAATGAAATGCCTGATTTAACATTCTTGTCAATTTAAATTACTGTAGGTTTAACTTTTCTCTTCTGTTCCTTTATCCATGAAGTAAAGATTACAGACCCGTTTTCCTTTCCCATGAAACAGGTGGTGATCTGACTATAGGAAGCAAAAGTATTAAAAATTGTTTTGAAGTAGAGAAAAATGGCACTAAGTATTTAAAACATTTGATCTGTTCATAGGGGGTCAGGCACGAACTCCGAGAACACGTCGAAAGCATGAGCCTCTCAAAGCCTGTTTTCCTCAGTGAAAGTCTATCTGTCACTTGCTCACCCCCACTCTTCCCTCTCTGTTCTCTCGGGGACCTCCGTATGACCTATGCTAGGTCCAGGCTCACCTGGTAGCTGAGGTCTTTCACACTCCAGTGCCAACCAATGTGTGCGCGTCTGTCTCCACGTGTTCCTTCCGTGTTATGCTGACCCTCACATCTTATTCTTCTGTGTGATCTTCCAGATGGCCCACTGCCAGTTAGACTTAGGGACAGTTGACCATGGCAAGAAGTAGGTTGGTTATAAGGCAATCAGTGTTTGGGACTTTTTATTTTGAGGGAGTAGATTGGGACCAGGTCAGGAATAGATCGGCATCACATTGGTGAGGTGGTGGGGTGACGGGTGTCATTGCGGGTGAATTGAGAAGAGCAGTGGCCTCAGCAGATAGACTGCCGGGCGGCCTTTGGCCTTGTCTGCTCCGCCCTGCTCAGGTAGCCCTGTCTCTCGGGTAGGACTTTCTGGTTTAGAGAACCAGAGCATTCGAGGTGCCCCAAAGGGAAACTCTCCCTGGTGGGCTTTCTGAGAAAGTGCTGCACACTCCAGCCTGGTTATTCGGTTTGTGTGTGTGCGGTGTCTCCGCACAGATGGGATGGTGAGGTGTGCCTTGCTAAGAGTGCTGTGTAACTCCCCTCTGCCACATAATAGTCAATGCTCTTGGAATATTGATTCATGAATGAAATCAAGTGCAGTATAGGGAGAGTCAAATTTTACTACAAGTATTGCCTTGTAGTAGGATTACAGATGCATGGCTCTGAGAGTCAAGGGAACCCTGAGATCCACTTCCTATCTTGAGAACTGTAAGCTATTACTTGGCGGTAAACGCCTTTTTGTATATTCTCCTATCCCTGCCTTTCACCTCACAGAACAGACTGTTGGAAAGTATGTTCCTTAAGATAGCCATTCAGTGAGGTTCTCTGCTGAATCTATAGAGAAGGTTCTATTGGGAAAATGCATATTTAACCTAGTTATACATTATTGAATAATGATATTATACATTATTAACTTATGAAATGCTCTGAAAATTCTATAGTAAGGAAACCTGCTTATTAAAAGTATATGATCCAGGCTTCCTTAACCTACCTTATCATGAAAAGCTGCTAATAAGGAGCATATCAGCTGTTAACATCCTATGTGAGCTCTGTCTATCAAGCACATTCCGGGCAGTGCTGGCACAGGCAGGCGCTCACTAGCCCCGCGCCATGGGTACACTCATCCTTGATTTCTCTCTGGAGCTTAGAGACCATGCTTCATCATTTCATCCACGCTCATATTTATAGAGCCTCTAGTCCAGCACCTCTCTCCTGGACCTCTGGACAAAACTCTGTGGGCTAACCTTGGCCTACATTTTCTACAACACGCTGTCTGTTCAGTGCCGAGTGAGAAAAATCTCACATCTGCTCAGATGAGAGTCTTCAGTCTGTCGGCCCTTAGCCCCATTGCCTTCCTATAGGACTGGGCTTCTCCTGCTACAAAGTGTCTCTCTCAGGCTGTCACGAAATCTCCTCCTGTCACCTCCCCTCACCTTT